CCCAATAAAATGTTGTTTACAGGATTTTATGAGGAATAACATTCTTACCAAAAGTGATCCTGCTCCAATGTTTGTATTTTCTTGAAATCTTTTTCAAAAAGTGAATTAAAGTGCTCATTATATGTAAATGCTGCTTATTAATAGTTTCGGTTTGCTTAAATGAAACAAAGGTTTTTGGCTGAAAGGCAGCCTTAAGGATTCGTGGGACCTAATTGGAGGCTCCTCTTCTGCAATGAGTTCTAACATGCAATTTAAGACATTTGCCCAAATTAATGAGAAGATCCTTAAGAGTGTTGTACTCCTCCATTTTTTAATTTGATTTGAATTGCTAAAAAGTGCTTAAGAGCCAAGTGGGCAGACAACTCACTGCCGATGTGCTGATGGCACTGGGTTGCTTACTTGCTCTCCATCAAATCACTCAGTCTGTGCACTTCACTTGCTACAGCTGAAAAAAAAAAAAAAAAATACTTAACTGTTTTATTTACACTGCTAAGGTGTTCACTAAGAAGAATGTTACACTGGAGAATGTTCTAAATACATGATTCATCTTAATGCTTTAATTTCAGTGATGTTAGGACGTTGTTATACTGATTTCACCATTTCCAGAAGCTGCCTTTCAGCTTGGAATATGAGCTTCTTCTTGCACTTTTGTAACTTCTAAAATGTTTATGTTTTGACAAAAAGCTGTCTCAAAATACAGTAATCAAGGGGGTTTTTTTTGTTTGTTTGTTTTTGTTTGTTTTCAATAAAATCAAGATAGTTAATTATTGGAATGCTGCTAAGATTATTCAAGAGAATTCTTTAATAAGTAGAACTTTTCTTTTTGTAAGGATTAAGATTCTTTATATTTGAAAATGTATTGAGGAATACTATGAAAAATTAATACCAAATTAATGAAATGGACTTTATTTTGTTCCACTTGTTCGTAGGCATATTAGAATGGGGTATGAAGTGAATGTCTCTTATACAAGTCTGAATTTTGTGACTTTAAATTAGCCAAAAAGGAAGATGCCTGTAACCATTTCAGAAAGTTCTTTTTTCTTTGTTTCTTGTTTTTTACCCAGCTTCCTACATAAACCATTGTGTAAATTACTGAAAAATTGTGCCAGCACTGAAAGTCTTTCACCGTTCTTGAAATGCTTACTTGCATTTCTATATAGCTTACTTCTTAAGCTAAATAAAGTACATGATGGAATTTTGCAGCATGATAGAAAAAGAGTCTTTTAGTAGTGTTTACAACAAAGGGATTTTATGAACATCCCTAGTCTGCTATATTCATTGTGACAGAGAATTCTGTATTGTGGTGGAGTACTACAATATTGTCTGCTATCATGCTTCATTTTCTTCTATACCAGTTTGATCACTGCTTGGTAGTGAGCTAATAAAAGCATTTCTATAGTGAAACTTTGAAATAAAGTCTTTGAAAGAGAATACATTGAACTATTTTAGCAACTGGAACTGATTATCTTTTTTTTTTTTTTTTTCAAATTATTTTCCTTGTATTGAAATAATAAGGAACTTCTAATATGTATGCTATATTTACATTATTTTATTTAGTAGGTGTTCAGTAGGTGGGGTGTTGCTTTATTGTTTTTATTGACACCAGTTCCAGGTTTCCAAAGGTAATGGAAGGCAAGTCCCTTTGTCAAAACTTTTTTCAAGAGAAGGAATAAATGTGTGACATGAAGGAAAAAACTGTAAAATCATATGCAAATAAACTGAGGAGAATAAAACAAATGCATATATGGTTTCATTGCTTGTACTGTGAAAAGACTGTGTGGTAGTCCTAACACTGGATAGACCAGTATCAAATACTGTCTTGGAATCAGTAACTTATCTTGGTCAGAAACGATCTAGGGAGAATGGTGGATTGTTTGACATACATATATCGCTCTTCTGCAGTAATAGACTAATAAAAGCAAACTACAAGATTTCCAAGATAGGCATGTAAATATGAGAAGCATAATAATTAGGGAATTTTTGGAGTCCTTGTGTACATTCAGCCCCCTCGAGATATGAGAAGGGAATGAGGAGCAGAATAAACCCCCCCCACAGTTCAGGAGGAAACAGTTAGTGACATGCTACTTCACCCGGACTGTCATAAGTCCGTGGAACAAGATCCATCCAAGATTACTGAGGGAGCTAGCAGGAGTGATTACTAACCTGATTTCCATCATTTATCTGCTGTCCTGGTCAACCAGGAAGGTCCCAGATTACTGGAAACTTGCTAATGTAATGTTCATCTACAAGAAGAGTTGGAGGGAGGAACTGCAGGTCTGTCAGTATTGGGAAAGGCTATAGAGCAAAAATTCATGAGTGTCATCACATGGCATGTGCAAGACAACCAGGTAATCAGTCCCAGTCAACATGGAATAATGAAACATGTTGCTTGACCAGCCTGATATCCTTCCATGACCAGGTGACCTGCCTTTTGGAGGAGGATATAATCTACCTAGACCTCAGTGAAGCCTTTGACTCTGTCTCCCATAGTATTCTCATGGAGAAACTGGTAGCCTATGGCTTCCACAGGTGTCCTCTTCCTTGATTAAACAACAACCTGGATGGCTGAGCTCAGGAAATTGTGGTTAATGGAGTAAAATCCAGCTGGCAACCAGTCATGAGTGGTGTTCCTCAGGGATCTGTACTGATGCTGGTCCCCTTTAATATCTTTACTGATGATCTGGATGAGAAGATTGAGTGTACCCTCAGTAGATTTGCAGATGACACCAAGCTGTGAGGAAGTGTTGATCTGCTTTGAGTGTCAGAAGTCTCTACAGAGGGATCTGGACAGGCTGGGTAGCTGGGCTGAGGCCAGTGAGATGAAGTTCAACAAGACCAAGTCCTGCACTTTGGTTGCAGTAACCCCAAGCAACACTACAGGCTTGGGGCAGAGTGGCTGTAAGCTGAGCAGAAGAAAAGTATCTGGGGATGTTAGTCAATGTTCAGCTAAACATGAGCCAGCAGTGTGCCAGGGGTCCAAGAAGGCTAATGGCATCCTGGCTTGTATGAGAAATAGCATATCCATCAGGAGCAGGGAAGTGATCGTCCCTGTGTACTCAGCCCTGGTGAGGCTACTCCTCGAGTACTGCGTTCAGTTTTGGGCCCCTCACTAGAAGAAAGACATTGAGGCCCTGGAGCATGTTCAGAGAAGGGCAGCAAAGCTGTTGAGGGGTCTGGAACACAAATTTTAGAAGGAGAGGCTGAGCAAACTGGGATTGATTATTCTGGAGGAGATTCGGGAGACTTTACTGCTCTCTCAAATGACCTGAAAAGAGGTTATGTTGAGGTGAAGGTTGGCCTCTTCTCCCAGGAAACAGCAATAGGATTAATGGGAATGGCCTTAAGTTGCATCAAGGGAGGTTCTGGCTGAATTTTTGAAAAAATTTCTCAGAAAGAGTGGAACAGGCTGCCCGGGAAGGTGGTGAAGTCACCATCCCTAGAGATGTTCAAGAACCGTGTAGATGTGGCGCTGGAGATCATGAGTCAGTGGGCATGGTGTTGGTGGGCTGATGATTGGACTGGATTATTTTAGAGGTCTTTTCCAACCTTTATGATTCTCTTGGTGGGTGTTCTCCTGCCTATTTTAAGATGCTAGAAATTTTCCCTTGAGAGTACAGCTCTAATCAGCACTCTTCTGTCAAAACTGCTAGCTTATCTCTGTCACAGAAATAAATTAAGTGTCTATGGTCATTCATCTGAGGGCAAATAGCTTTCCACAGAGATTTAGGCATTGTGGAGGAACTACCTTTAAAGATAACCTCTCATAGGGTGGAAGATTGATAAGAGTCTGTATTCCTTTAAAGAGAGCCTTTCTACTTCCCTATGATCTGGAAGAATGTTGGTGATTCTTGGTAGTTCTGGCTTCAGAAGTTTTACTATGGTCTCTCTAGCAGTTAATGAGAACTCAAGAAGTTTTTTGTCACTTAAAGATGCAGGCTGATGCTTAAGGACCCTACCTCTATCTTGCAGCCTTTGTGCTAACTGGTTCTTTGTAGTAAATAATTAAAGGTCTTCTTTAACTCAGGTGATTCTTACAGTGACAGGAAGGTGTCCACTTGGCTGGTATATTCTCAGAGCAGTAACTTAATTTCCTTTTTCTTTTTTAAATTTATTTTTCCTCCTCCTCTGACAAACTCAAGCCTTGTTGTCCTGAAGTTTATTTTGAAGATAAGGAATGGAGTAGTTATATCAACTTGGTCAGTATTTCTGAAAAACAGACTATAGTGGAAAATCCATTTGACCTTTCTGTTTGTTTTTCTCATATGATATTTCTCTTGCATGTTATATTCAACTTAGTAAAGAGTTTGTTAACCAAGTTTTCTGAAAGACAGGAATGTGTTATAGTTAACCCCCTGAAAATGGGAGACCAGCTATATAAACAGTAAGAAAACAGTAGGTAAATTGTTGTGTGGTACTTGAACATAATGTAAGGTGATACTTTCTGTATCACTATGTCCATCACAATTCTGCCTTCAAATGAAGATGATTTAAGCAGCTGAATAAGTTGTAGTTGCTTCATTTTTTTTCATGACTCCAGGTTCTTTTCAACTGCACATCAATGGATAAACAAATAAAGTTCCTATTTATTTAAAAGTCTTGACTCTCATGTGCAGAAATAGCTTTATTAATTAAATAGTGAAAAGGAGAGTAATCTGAATGAACAGAAACCTTTCCTTTAACCCAATAAAATGTAGCTATTCTGTTCCAGACTCATAGAGGTCTGTGACTATCCTCCTCCATAATTTGATTTTGATTAATATAAAAATGTAGTGTTTAAAAGTTTCTTCATTGACTAATGTTTCCTAACTCTTGCCGTTCTAGGTCAACTGCTAAAAAGCCAAATCAGTTTTACATATTTTCTTACTTAGTCCGTATATGGGAACTGTTAAGTCACATAATGAACCAGTGATTGAGCACCTGGGACACAGCCAACACTGGGAGCATAGGTGGAAGCAATTCACCTGTGCGACAAGAGGGGGAGGACACTGGGTCCATCCCTCCCTAACCTCATTTGAGGGATGGCAGGTGCGAGGGAAGCATCTCTACTCCAAGGTTGATTTCTTTGGTGTATTTGGTGAGCCCTGATCCTTGGAAAGGGGTAAGTGATTCGTTCTTTATTATTGGATTGTGGTCTCTACCTTTCTAATGTGACCTAAAACTGGCTTGAAGCATCTGTATCTGCCATTGCCCATTCTCATAGTCCCTTAAGTAGGTTCTCAATTTTATAAAGTCAGTCTTAACCACCTTTGTTGTGGTTAACAGAAAGTTTTCTGCTAAGGCTATCTTTGTGCATGTATATATTTTCAGACCTCATAGTACATGCTGCAAGTTTTTTGAAAGGGGAAGTGGGGCTATTTACTGTGACGGGGAGCTGTCTCTTATGATGGAGAAAAAATTTTAATTCTTTGAGGTTTCCAGATTACTTAGAGCATTACTAAACTTCTTGGAGAAAGAAACTGCACCTTTTCAAAAGTTTCATAAGCATTTAATGAAATTTTAAAGTTCTAGAACTCTTGGTCTTATTTACTTTGTTTAGAGAAATACTTTTCCCTTCATGCAGTATTTCCTTTGTGGGCTCTTTCATTTCTGCTTTATCTGAAAACAAGTTGTGGTAATAATGTGAGTCTGACATATGACTGCTCTTATTAAAAAGAACTATATAAATCTTGGCAGGAAAATAACTCCAGTTGAATGCATTAAAAATATTCTGCTTTTGGAAAGGTAAAAACAAAAGTTAATTATGACTCATTAGATGAGACAAATTATGTTTTTCATGCCTGTGTGTACAATATGTACCCTGTAAATATAAAAAAACTTGTGGATGTTCATGGTAAATTAAAGCTTAAAATGAATTAAGAGAAAATGTTAGAACTTACAGGCATTGAAATAATAGTCTTAGCTTAAGTAGTATTCTGCATTTTTATAAAGCTATTCTGAACCCTGGAATTGGTCCAAGTTTAACTGAACTTTTTCTGAAATCTGTCTTCGAAAGACACTCATTTCTTGGAGCATTAGGAGAGTATTACAATTGATGCAACACTAATTGCTCATGCCATTTGACTCCAAGGTGATTCTCAGTGTTGTTTAGAAACTTGTGGAACTCCCTCTAAGTTTAGCTGTCTTTTTCTGACTATGCCTCACAAAACACAGTTTAAAAGTATGAAGTGAGCATAGTTTATAAGATGACTTAAATTTAATAGGTTTAATTCAGTCTTTGTTCAGGAAAAGTATGATGTTTATGAAAGAAAACAGAGTGCCTTTCAGGTAAATAGTTACGTCTGTAAACATTGCAGAAACTAAATGGCAAATGCGATGATGTTATACTGTTTTCTCTACAGTAGTTTTGTATTATTCCACTTCTCAGTAGTCTGCTTAAGTGTTTCGTAGTGAAGGAAATGGCTTTGGTATATTTTCTACTCTGTTTACTATTGAGAAAGAATTGAGCATGTAAAGCTAGCTGTCTTACTGTACTGGTTATGGCTGGGATGGTGTTTGCCTTCTTCATAGCAGCCATATAGTACTGTATTTTGGATTTGAAGCTAAAATGGTGTTTATAACATATCAATGCTTTGGCTGCTACAGAGCAGTGCTTGCACAATGTCAAGCTTTTGTTTTCTTCCCTGCCTTTATCCACCCCAGCAAGTGGGAGGATGGCCAGGAGAGCTGACACAAAGCTGCCCAAAGGCAAGCCAGGAAGTGGCTGGATGTCTTCCTGATGTCAAGTCATGAATAAATTGCCTTTTCCATTTTGCTTGTGCATACAGCTTTTGCTTTGCCTGTTAAGCTGGCTGGCAACGGGAAATTAGGTGAAGTCACTTGAAATTCATTGAAGGAAAATGGAAGAAGTGAAACTCAACCTTATCTGCCTTTCAAAAAGCATTCAGTGTGTCCTGTGTGAACTTGACTTATAGTGCAAGATAACTGGGGTGCTTTAGTTATCCTGCTGTTAAGGTAACATCTTTGTGAATGACCAGACAAAGCTGTATCCAGACTATTTCATGGTAAAAATTATTGGACCAGGTCTTTGTGTAAGTTTCGACTTGCTGGCATGTATTCCTGTAGAAGAGGTTTGTTTAAAAAAGAAGTATAGGAAAACTTTTCTGCTTTAAAAAAAAAAAAGAAAAAGTTGATGTTTTCAATGTAAATTATACTTTGTAAAAGTATATTCTGTTAAACACAAATTTTATATCAAATGACTATACTTTGTAGGGATATGGAAAATTAACTAAAGTGAAAGCCCGTTCTGTAGAGTGCCTGAAATTCTAATCACTATTTTTGTAGAGAGTTCCTTTTATGTATTGGCTGTTGCTTTCACTGTGGTATTTTCTTATTTGGTTGAATACTACTACAATGAACAAAACACTTTCTTTAAGTGTTTCTGTATTACACATCCTATCTAAATGATAGTTAATTTTTCAGTCAATTGCGTGGTTGTTGGTTTTGTTTTGTTTTTTATGAGTTGGAGGCTAGCTGTTATTTTACGTAACTAAAGCTTGAAAATGGGCTCCTTGCTATAGGTGTCTCAGTCATCTTGCTGCTTGTAAGGGGGGTGAAACTGTGGTATCCAGTATGCATGTGTTTGTTTTTCTTTTTCTAGTTGTCCTGTGTAACTAAGTGCTGTGAAACAGAACTAACTTCCTTCTGATTTCAAATAACCCAGAGAAACATGTCCTTGTTCCTCAGACTTATTGGACTAATGTAATGCAGTGTATAATGCATGAATTAACACAGTAACTGTGTGTCCTTCATAGCAATGACCTCAAGGAATCATTTAGTAATATAATTAAGTATTTCTAAGCAAATTGAGCCCGAGCTGCTCAGATAGGGATACCTGGTTGGGAGTGATAATGGAGAAATTGTATTCATTTAGCACATTATTAGGTTTTTCCTTCTTTTTTTTTTTTTTTCTTTTTTTTCTTTTTTTCTTTTTTCCTCTCACTCTTCCTGTGGATGGAATTGGCACAGGATATCAGTGGTTAGTGCATCCCTAGGAATGTTATCACACATGTTATGGAATATAAAGCTGTATTAACATGCAACTAAAAATTAAGGAAGGAAAGCTATTCTCATGTCAAATTAAGCAGCTCATTGTTGGACTGAAGTACTGGTAGAGTGGAGGAAAATCCTAATCTTCCATCGCTACACAAACAGGGTTACTTTTTTTTTTTTTTTTTTTTGAAATCTTTGTTATTGTATGAAACATGACAGGAGCAAATATCCCTCAGTTATACATCTGGTACTGTTACAGAAACTCTCTTCAGGAAATTCTGGTCTTGCAATGTGTTCTTTCTACGCAGGCTGATTGTAATAGCCCAATTTAAACTTGAGAGGTAATACACAGCATGTTATATGAAACACTGTACAAGGATATTTAAACATGAAAGATAGTTGCTGATGTTTTGTTGGAGGTAACTCATAGGTATTCATTCCTATGAATAATTAAATATACTGGCCTTTTGTATTAACAGCCTTGATGGGTGTCAAGCCAAGACATACTTTGATGCTAGATACAGCTTTCAACCTGTCTTGTTTGCATTTGATTTTTTTTTTTCTTTTTTTCTTTTTTTTTCCCAGACTAGAGCTTGTGGTCCTTCCTGTTTATTTTGGCTGATGTGGGCAGGTGCCTAGTGGCTTGTGACCCTTACGGAATCCTGACACCGTTCCATGAAGAACTTTTCCAGGCTTAGTCCTGGAAGCTTTTAGCTGAGTGCTAAGCAGCACTTGTGTCCTGTTCCTAATCCCCACTGCCTAGCAAGGCTATGTTGGTAGAAGTACTTGCAAGGCTTTTGACTCATTGAAAGTTCTGCTAAAGCCCAATCTCTCTAGTGCTCAGAGTCAGAGAGGATTACAGCAGAGATAAATGCACTGGCCCCTATTTCACCCTATCTGTAAAGGTCATGAGGGGTCCAGCTCCTAACTCTGAACTTCCCTGGGTCCTATGAATTGTTTTACTAGTTTGGTGAACCAACCCCCCCCCCCACCCCTTTCAGGTCTGCCTGAGCTGAGAAGCTTCATAGCAGTGTTTCTGCTGTTGTGCTCACAGCAATTGTTAGAACAGCACAGGCGTAAGCTTCAATAAGAGATGTGCAAATGAACCATTTCTTCAACTTCTTAAACATTCTCTGTGTCATTTGCTGATTAATGCTTGTATGTTGCTGGTAGGGAATTCTCCCTGTGAACAAAAATTCTAGGTGTAAGCAAGTTCTTGCATATATTAGCATATATTTAGGGGAGTCGGACTTTTTTTTTTTTTTTTTTTGTCCTGTACACCTCGGCTCTGAAAAAGCAGATGTGGCAGATGACTTGCTCAGGACGAGAGAATATCACACCACAGGTCACTATGTGCAGCTTTTTGTAGTAGGATACTGGGGAAGCAAATCAAGTATGAAGGTGTGAAGACACATCATCTTCTAAGGCTAGTTTCATGCCTAGTGGATTGAGATAATCATATAAACCCTCTTACCATCCAAGGAAGTTCTCTTCTATCCATATCAGTACACAGATGCTACATTTGCAATTCCCTGAGCACGTGCAGTGGCAGGAACTCAGACAACAGAAGGGCCAATGCGAATAAGGGTACACAACCTAAAGCACGTTGTGCAGATGGTTCTTACTAAGATCAATCAGATGCTCATCCTTTCACGGTGATCTGTGCTGGCAGAAAATGCAAGGAGGCAGTAGTAGGTATGTAAGTGATAATCCTGCATAAAGGAAAGGCCAGACTTGCTTGGGGATGGACATGATAGATGCATTTGTGCAGAGAAGGAACTGCAGCGAGGAAATAAGTATCCAAATATATCAGATATCTTCAGTGAACCTGTTCTTGCTCTTATATATTCTGTTGATATGTCTCTTTGTTACAGAAACTTGGAAGTTGGACTCTATTGTTTAAACACTCATTCAGCAGTATTTTGTATCTATCTTTGTATCTTTTCTACATCTGTAGGTCACATCATTAGCACCAGCAGCACACTGCTGCATAGTATTTCCACAAGTGATACTGCTTAATCAAGTGATGTGTAATAATACTGTGTGACACCCTTCTAAATGTACATCCTGAAAGACCTGAACCTCTTAGAAACGATAACAAAAATGTGA